CTTCCTCTTTGTGGCCTACAGTCCTGAGATTGTGCAATCTTCGGAACAGACCCCCATTTAACCGGTTACATGAGAATATTATTTGTTTGTGTAATTACTGGATGTTTCCTTATAGCTGTTCCTGCAACTTTATGATACCAGTAGGTGCATGGGGCTGTGGCTGCTCTCTGTGCCCTACAGGGCTACGCATGCTATTAATTTTTCAACACAGAAAAAATAAAATAAATGATCCCCATCTTAGCTTAAATCCTCTAATTTGCCATTTGAGATCCTTCCTAATATCCCATGATGAGTGGAGGGAAGTTGCTGACTGACGTCCTTGTGCAGTGACTGGGCAATATGCTGTAGTATGAGGGCTGTTATAAAAATCAAGGAAGCATTGAAGATCAGTTTTAATTGGAGATGTTTTAGTTTCTTTGCTGAGGAAATAGCCATTTGCTCAAAGCTTTTCTGTTCTTCCTCTTAGATTTTTGTTTTGTGCATCTGTGTTTGAGCACTGAGAAAACTGAGAGAAATAAATCAAACAAAGGCCTCCAGATCTACTTTGTAGCTTTCTGGCTAATGGTAAGTTCATCACTCTCTGCATTTTGTGCATTTTGCCTTCAGATGGGCTAATTACAATCTGATGTCATTATAGTTTATCCATTCGATTTATGGGGGCTGATCAGTATGTCATAAATGTTCAAAATACCCCTGAGGCTTTTCAAGCTAGCACTGGTTCTCAGGACACATTTACTCCAGGACTCTGATGCACAGATTCCAGATTGTGCTAGGATATTTTCTGAATTAGGTATCCCCACCCCAGTGTTTGGAAATCCATTCAGATGATAAATACTATTCTAGCACATTTCATCCTAAAACGCCAGCTGGCTTTACAAACGGTAACTAAGCTGCATGACACCCCTGTGAGTTAGAGGAGCACAATTGTCCCCATTTTACAGATAGGGAAACTGAGGCACAGGAAGACAAAACGAGCTATCCAGTGAGTTACTTGTGAGGAAAAGCACTGAGGAGTTATAAGCCCCAGTGACCTGCTCTCACCACTAGGCTACCCTTCTTCCTTCTAGATAGGAATAAGAGTTGTTATTCCATATTAACTATTAATAATGAGACTTTACACTGTATTTTAGTTTTTCCCCTGATACTGGTGATGGAAAACCAAAGCAGAATCAGTGACCTGCTTCAAAGTGCACTTGACGATCTTCTTGAGGAAGACTTCAAAAGATTTAAAGACAAACTATCACATTCTGGCTTTAAGGGAAAAGGTACCATCCCCCGAGGTCGGCTGGAGAAGGCTGACAGGATAGATACTAAGAACATTCTGATGGCAGTCTATGGTGGAGATGCTGCAGTTGATGTAACCATAGAAATTTTAGCTAAGATCAATGTCAGAGGGTCTGCTGCTAACCTCAAAAAAGACAGAGAGAAAGGTAAGAAATCTAATGTTACTCTAAAACCTGGGAGTCTCCCCCAGGGCAGCAGCAACGGGAGCAGAAGGAAAAACAGGATGATGGCAGGAATGACAAATTGTGAATCCCAGCTGGAAATGAGGGGGACTCAAAGCCGAGATGCCCACAGCAGATTTTCTGACCTGAACCCTCCCTTTTCA